GGCCATTTCTATCTATATTGGATGAGGGCCAACTTTCATATCTCACATCTCTTGGCAATCGGCAGAATATATTTTGGCACAATTACCAACTTTAATTATGCGTCAAGCTGTCAGATTTGTTAGGATAATATATTTCACATGTGGGTGGTGGTTTGGAGAAAACTGTGGAAATATAACACCATCCTTGCTGATTTATTTAATTCTTTGTTTTGTATAATTCAAAACAAATAAGAACTCTTATGTTTGTTTCATTTGATAGCATTTGATAGCACAGAGTAGTTGAAAAATCTGAAGCCATCCAATTTGACAAAACACATTTAGTCACCATTCATATTCAATCTTCATTAACACATGTGCATGCTAAATCAATTTAATAATAAAGCCAAAAGCGTTAGGCCGGTCCAAAGCTAAAACTTATATCGATTTGCATGTCAACAGCTTAAGTGTCTTGTTAAGTGCAATCATGATAAATAATTTAACGTTTAGCCAAGCGAGGACGATAGATTGACCGCTTAGAAAACCATCAGTCCATTATCTCGAATCCCCAGAAGGCTCATGTCAACATTAAAGTGCACTCGATATGTCTGCTAATCAGTGGTGAAAGAGAAATGCATTTCCATTTTGGCTCGGGTAAATGCTACTATTCCTCACGAGATTCGATAGCTTTGCCTGTACATTATTACGCCATTCAACGTACGTGGCCTTTTTTTTGGGCTTGGCGAAAAGCCGGATTGAAAAGTGTTGAAAACCCTTCATCATGTGTCGTCATCCCTTCTCCTTGGTGGAAATTCACGAAAAGGACCAGAAAAAATTCCATATAATTGGCGTTGATTTATTGTCTTTGGTAGGCGCAACGAGATTTGTTAGGCCCACAGACTTCGTGGGCGACTGCCAACAATAGCTTAGGCAAAAAATTCAAGACCAAAAAATTGTATATCAGATGTGCCGTAGATATAACCGCAATTTTATAATGCACTCGAAATACTCATGGGTCTGCGGTTGGTTTTTGCGGTTGCGTGTTAGATAGGGTCGGAGTCCCAATTTAGATATCGCTGCTTTCAGAGCTTGGCACTCCTCTCATTGTGCCAGTCTGTCTATGTTGTCCATGAAAGTGGCATGAAAACAGCAGGAAATGACAATGGCACAGGCTCGGAGACATGAAACCCGCACAGTGGCATCATAATAAAAAGGATAAATTTGAAAATAAATAGAGTAATTTGCTGATAAAAAGTGAAAATAGAGACTATTCATAGTGTTTTAGCCGTGTTTATTCAACTTGACTGAAAAATACAAATTAAGAGTGAAATTGTATTTATGCTATATCGATATATTGAAATTTTTCGTCATTTGATCTTTTAAAGTTACTTCGGTCAAAAAGAATTGTAATTATTGTTTTTAATTTTTTTAATTTTATTTTGTTTTTAATTTTTTTAAATCTAAAATTGTACAGCAATAAAACCCCAAAAGGTTAAAGTCAAATTAAACATTTTAAGTTATTAAAACATGTTTGTATACATATTGGTATGTTCACTTTTGTGTTTCTTATCCCAACGTTTTGACAAATGCTTTTGAGTAAAGGTAATGTTTTCTAAAATTGTTTTTAAAAATACATTTTTGCTAAGCACACATCACTGATCTTGCATAATTTCTGCCTTCACAGGAACGTCAAATATTATTTTGTATAAATACACAAACCACTGTTGACAATTCCTGTTGGCACAGAGTGGGAGGCCTGGCGTGCGTTCTTGTTTAGTTTTAGTTTTAGCTTTCTTTTTCATCATTCGAGTGGCATTGCATGACTGCATGCAAGTTGGTTCTGGCCAGGCCAAGCCTTGTCCTTGCTTCGGCTGCTGTTGTCGTTGCCATTTATAACTTTAAGTCCTGACAAGCCACACACCAGGACCCGCACAACCTCCCAAAAACCCTTCGAAATCCCCCCTATCTCGGCAGCAACAAGAACAACACAATTAGACAAATGAATAAACATATAGTTCTTGGCAAGAAAATTTGCATATCCCTTCTCCATGTTCCTTAAGTGCATTTCAGTGTCTGAGTGTAAATATCTCGTTTGCAATTGGCAATTGGCTAATAAGGATTTTCGCATTATAACGTTTACACTCTGACCTGGTTTAATATTTAATTAGCTTTGCCCTGGCAATGAATGGCTTCGACTTGAAACGGTCGGTTGCCCGGTTATTCGAGGGTGTTCGTGCGCTCTTTGCCGGAAGCACATGTCGTATACGTGATATTTGACAAACATTGTACATGCACAAGCACACATGCCCCGCCAAATACTGCATTTAAACGGGAGTGTTATACAGGAATATTACACAGACAACAAATTACGTTTTATTTAAATTCATAAATGTTTTTATCTATCAAGTAGTTTAGTCTTTATATAACAGGGTTTTAGTCAAATTTGTATTCCGTTAAATAATATGATCAGTATATTTATATCACCTAGTATTGAGTTTAATGTACAAAACTTATTTTATTTATTTATTTTTATTTATATCAATACATGTTTTCATCAAATTATTTTACATTTTTATTATCATTGTTATTTTATAATTTTGAAACAATTTAAATGATACATTTTTCCTTAAGTCAGTTTTGTGCGTAAAACTAAGTTTTTTTAAACCATGAAATGGTTTAAATATATAACAAACTGTGGTCTATCATTCAGTATAAATAATTTTCTATTTATTTTTAGTTAAGTGCATAGAGGTACCCATGACCATGCAAAGGGCGTGAGTCCAACATGGTTTCAAATGTTGTAAAATGCAGGAAGTTGCACGCTTTCCACACTCCCGCTCACCACAAGCATTTTTCCATTTTCCCCCAGCTTTCCCCACTTTTCCCACTGACTGGGGCCACAGAGATTTGTGCAAAATAGAGTCATGAAATTAGTTGGCTGCAGCTGGAGCAGCTAAGTATGACATTGTATTCGGTTTTATGGCTCGGTTCGCTTTTAATGCTATTTATGCTAATGGCAGGCAACATTTAGCAGTTGCTTGTGGCTTAAAGAGCTCTCTCAGCGCATTTTCATCGTCTCCGTCGGGTTAAAGTTATTGATTCAACTTTGGTTTTGGCCTGCGGAAAACGCATAAATATTTAAGACTTACTTTGGCGATTTATAAATTATTTATATATTCAACAAGAATGTGCGGAAAACAGTAAAGCTACTGGGAAATTAAGGTCTTCGTCGAAACTTTTGTCAAACTTATTCAGCATATTTTGATTTTCTGTTTGCTTAAAAAGCAATTATTATTATTGGATAATATTTAAAAATGCTAGAAAAATAAAAAAGTTGTGAGTATAAACTCTTTTAAAAAAGAGTATTTTAAAAAGCAGAGTATTTTAGAGCTTTCGGCAACCGGAACTAATGTACCAAAATCCATAGAGTAAACTATAGATTTTAAAGGATAAGTGGTAGAAAAGTAAAGAAAAGTGTAAAAAAAATAAATATATTAGTTGGGCGAAGACTGTCAAAGCTATTTCCTTTCACAGTGACCCCGTTTTTGGTCTATCTGCTGCTTAATCAATTCCGACTGAAAAATAACCGTGACGTCGGAAATGGAAATCCCCTTTCCACCGTTTTTCCGCCCTAAGCTAACAAGAGTCCTGCAACTGTGTGAGTGTGGGTCCAAATAAAATGGAAATGCAAAATGGAAATAGAGTGGAAATAGTCTGCAGCACACACTTTTTGACTCTTTGCTGATAAATATTGAAGGGCTGTTAAAATTTGTCAGAGGACAAACGGTAAAAGTTCGCTGAAGATTTGATTTGAGTTGGTGCAAGCGAGTCATTGCAGGAAAATTCAATTTGCGGATTTATGGGATTTGATTTACGAATTGGTTTTATTATGATGAATGAGCAATAAACGCCTTCAAAGATTGAATTTGGGATGGATAGCAAAATACCCAGTCGTGAGTATAGTGTTTAAAAGTAAAACAGTAACTGAAATTTCAGTTCTATAAAAATTTACGTAAGAAAAAAGAACTTAGAGACATTTTAATAAAACCAAATCTTCATTAATTTTGCTGTTAAAAAACGCTATTAATATGCTAGATTTACTCTGTTAGGTCACAACATTTTTATTTATCTCCTTTCACCTTTTTGCGAAAACTAAGTTTATTTGTTTTCTATGATATTAACACTTCAATAACACCATCGACCTTAAATCTTAATAGCCTAAGCTGATTTGCATTGTGTTTATGTTGGCAAAGTAAGAAAAACACACAGTTCGATTAAACTCGCACTCAATTCATTTGCATTCAAAGTGCTCATTAACTTCATCTGGGCGCCAGCCTTGCCACTCCCACTAAAGCCTGCAGGAAGTGCAGCAAAGGTGCTGCAAGTACGCCAAAGAGCGCGCATAGCTCGATTCGCCTTTGATTTATGGTACGCAATAATAATCTTCATTTGCATGTTGCCTGAGGCAGCGGCAGCCAACAAGGCGTATACTCGATGTGCTTATATACCGGTGTAAATACGGATGTGGCGCAAAGATTGCTGTGGCTACGAGTTGCACTTCCGGCAGCTGCAAGTGTCCTTGCCCTAGCTTACAGCACTGATTAATATGGACAGGAAAAAATTATTTTGAGTTAATTTTAAGTTACAGGAACGAATTATTTAAAGTTATTTACATATTTAAAAAATATTAACTGAAGAAATAGGAAAAATATATGATAAAGACAGTTTTTAAAATGTATTTCCGCTAAATAATTAAATTATATATATTATCTTAGCTTATCCTAAGCTCTTTAGTATATATAAAAAAAAAGTTTTTTTTAATTTTTTCGCAATCATTTTTTTATAAAAAGAAATTTGCTAAATTTCATGGAAATAGCAACATAACCCTATTTTATAAGGTTAAATAAATATATTTTAAAAACTGTTAAATCATTTATATTTTTATCCCTCTAGTTGATTTTTTTACCCACAGTCTCCTTTCCGTCTCACCTGCTCACACCTGCTCTCTCTTTTTCCATTTACAG